GCACTGCTGACTGTTTTCCTCCAAGTGCTCGACCAACATAAAAGAGTAAGGAAAAGGAGCAGCTCTTCTGACTATGCATTCTCACAAGGAGATGGGCAGGAATCCTGGTGGATGTACCACAGGTTAGAAGTGCTAATGGTGCAGCTTCATCCTACACTGAAGAGCATTAGTGCTTTGCTTAATCAAATAATATTTTTCTCTCATGGAAAATGAAGAGAGGATGCTTGAATGACTGACCACTACATGTGGACAGAGGAGGGTCTTCAGAACTGGAAAGTCTTCAGATGGTCTTCCAGCTACAGCCATTGGCTCTAGTGTTTTACTGCTGCCAGATCAAGGGCTTTGAGAAAGGCCACGGATCTGGCAGGCATGAGTAGTATTTTCCTATCTCCCTGAGTGAAAACAGGGTAGCCAACACTTCTCTTGACTCAAGTCTAAGCTGCTGATTTCTTCTTTCCTTGGGTTGCCCATCCCATCATAGTAAGGTAAAACAAGAACCTCTTCACCACCTTGCTTGGGAAACCACAACAGGGAACACACTGGATTAGTTTGAAAAACAGCCCATAGTTTTTTATATTTTAAATTGCAAATTAAGTGTTAGCTGGGTATATGGGTTTTGCCAGCATTAGTGGTTTCTTTGTAGCAACCAATTAACAGCAGGCACTGAAACTGGCAAAGTAAATATATATCAAAACTGATGGTTATAGAGTTTGACTTACTGATACAGATTCTTAGCGGTCCCCGTGTTCTCTGGTGACCCTTGGGTTAGTGCATGTGCTTGATCCCTTGCAGGCACAGAGGAAGAGGGTTTGAACCTGGCAGTGAGTGTTTACCAAGAGACAGGATGGCAAGAATGGAAGAGCTGTGGAAGTGGAGGCCAGCACTGATGTTTCAGTAGGCAAGAACAGCATTGGCAACTGACACAGAGCAAAACACCTCTGAAGAGCATAACCAGAAAAGCATTACCAGAAAGACCTGTCAAAAGCTGACAGAAAATCAGGGGACTGGCAGAAATCACAAGATTGAGCTGGACCATACACACACGATTTCTGATGATGGCTGAACACAGTCCTCCACACTGACCACCCCCAAACAATGCTGGAGGACCACAAAGCCCAAGAACTGAGGGGTCTCCACAGTGATAGGACCCAGAATTTTCTCCACTGGGAGAAACAGCTGCCAAACTCTGCAAGCTTTGTTTGTCAGTGGAAGGTGATCTGACAGCTTTGTAACAAAGTACAGGGAACGTCTTTTCAGGGACCCAGCAGACAAGACCAGAAGAAAGACATGGGGAAGAAGAGATGCCTCTGTAGCAGAGCTCTGCCCCATCTTGTCTATCTGCTAGAATCACCCAATACACAACTTATTTTTCATGTCTCGGGAGCGTACTGTCTCCATTTGCACCTTTGAAAGTCCTGCATAGTAGCACAAAGGGGACGGCACAAGGAGATTGTGGGAGACAAGAGAACTGTGCCATGGAAGGAAGAGATCCTCATCAGTACTTCTGCCATCAAAACTTCGAGGAGGAAAGAAAAAGGGAATTCAAAACCCCAACCCCCACGCTAAATTTGCACTTGTTCTCTCAGGCTGGCAGCCTAGAAGTTCGTAAACTCAGAAGTACCTTGTTCTGGAGTAAACTGTTCTGAAAATAGTTTCCAATGGCTTCCCCCGAGTTTACTTTGCTGGTGGCAGCCCTTTGGCTCCATGCTGGCACATGTATGAAGCTCTTTGAACAAGTTTTAACCTTCCTTTAGCCCCTCTGCCCATCAAGCCAGCGAATGACATGCTTCGTATTGCACAGAACACATACAATTGACAAGTTCATAGTGTTGTTTAAATATTAAACAGTCTAGACAGGCTTTTGAGTCTTATGCCGCTGTGAAAAGGCTCAGACCATGCCCATCTCTGAAACTGGGCTGCGGGATCATTTGCACAGTAAGACAGACAATAAGACTTGTATACATTGCCATGCAACAGAATAGACCCCGAACCGCCAGCCCTAAGTGGAAAGTTTATTTCTAAGCACAATATATGGAAAAAACAAACCAACAAACCCCACAGATATAGAAAACGTTGTAGCAAATCCCTGGTCAAGTAGGACTTCATGTCTGTCACTACCCTGCACCTCACAGCTGCTTAAAATGTCATGCAATGGAGGAGAGGGCACTCGGACGACAGCCTCCGCTTCCGATCAGGAGGGTCTCCCAGCAGGAGAAGGCTGATGGGACTCCTGCTGTGGTTCAGACTGTAACCAGCAAAAGGGCAGCGCTGCTCACCCCCACCACACACCTCGTGACTACCGGTGGTAGACTTAGCACTTCAACAGGCTTTACCAACGTGGATTCTCACAACACCCCTGTGAGGTAGGTACGTATTGTTATTCCCCCTTTGCGTGGAGGGGACACTGAGCCAAACAGCCCAAGGCTACAGAGTCAGTGGCAGAGCTGGAGTGAGAGTATGCAGAGTCCTGTGTGCTCAGAGTACACCACTCTTTCACAGCAAGTTGTGCTTCCGACTTTGTAAAATTTTATCTGTTAGCCAAATTAAAGGAATTTGACTTCTCCACATTAAATGAGTGGAGGGCAGGGAGAAAAACGACATCATGAGTTACAGCTGTCCCTTCATCTGTGTATGCTTCCCCCTTCCCAAAAACACTCTTAATTTCTCATCTCTTGGAATGAGGACAGCCTCCAGAACAGGTATAGGGGTGAGAGGCTGCTGTGTTTGCTTGCTTTGGCCAGGTTCTACTGAAGCAGTTCTTCCAGAGATCGTTCATTGCAACACTTCCCTTCTGGGGGATAGCTACTTTCAGAGATGACTGGAACTGCCCCTTCACTCTCCCTCTGCCCACCACCATCTCTTTTCTCCCCTCTGCCAAAAGCACTCTTTGGTAGACAGTAAATCTGGTCAGATAAAGGTACAGTGGCCTCAGAAACCATGCTGTTTCACACTGGTCCTCAGTAAGCTGGCTTTCTCAGACGGTGTTCCACCTCCCACATTCTCTGCCAGAGAAGTAAGTACCTGTTCTGTTGCATTCTGATATTTAAAGGGACACTGTCAAGTAATCGAGGTGAAAATTACGACCTTGCTTTAAGCTGCTAACCTCCATCTTCAGCGTTGCAGAATGGCTGCTGTGTTCAAACACAGAGGCTGAAATTGGACACCTTCTCCACTCCAGAAACACCTGACCTCTGACAGCCTGGCTGCCAAAGGAGCTGGTAGCCCACGTCTGCCCTGTCTCCACAGAAGGTGCCAGAGGTGCTGGTATGATGATGGAGGGCAGCTGCATTCAGACAATGTTGCTTGGCACTGCTGCTAAATGGATGCAGTTTGGCTGAAGACATTATCTTGATTTTGGAGGGAACTGGGTTCAGGCTTGATCACTGTGGGGTCACTGTTTTGTGACAGCTGAACTCTTGCTCCTCAACTAGCTAATCTCCATATTTCTAGGGTTCCTGCTCTTATGCTTCCTCTGTGGCAGCTGCAAAATAACTCAACCCCGTAGAGTTGGGACATACCCTCCATAGAATGAGGACAGTCAGCAGGAATCAGAAATATGGATTTCCTCCTGTTGCAAAAGAAAGGTGGGGAGGAGAAGGACAGGGATGGTGAAAGGAATGGGGTGAGTGGAGAGAACCATACATGCCCAAATGGAAAAGGACAAAATCGGTAGGGAAAGAAATTTTATTTTCAAGCTTGTAAGAGAATATTACAAACAATGGAGAGTAAAAAAAGCCCAAACCCTAAAAACTATTTAAAAAGTACTTGACAGTGTCCCTTTAATATCCACAAATGATTCAGCCATTGTGCATTGAAAGAGAATGTTCCTGAAGAGCAACCGATACCTTCGAGGATATATCCCAGAGAAGGAGACTTATCAGAAGTGCTACACAGTCAGTCATCAACTGTGCTCCCTCTTCAGACTAACTCTCTTTTGGATGATTGAATGGAATAGAATCTATAATAAACTAACAGACTGGATGTAAAAGGATCAGCCTACAAGACTGAGTGAGACTGTTGCAAATTGAGCAGCAGAGATACAGACACCATAAAAAAAAAAAAGTACATCTCTAATGCATGAGTGTCTGAATCAGCAAGGGAGCAGAAACCCACCAAAGATGGGTCAGCTTCTTGTGATTAGAGTAAAATGGGAGGAAATTAACCTGGAATGTCTGCATGGAAAATGATGTGTGTGGGTGGCAAGGTCTGGATGCTGGATTTGGGGTTATGAAGGCATGAATCACACCAGTACTTGTGCTTGAAACACCTGCGGAACATTTGTACAAAATTTGCCAAAAATGCCTATACGTCAAATAAAGGTCATGGAGCGCCCTCCCCCCTCCCAGTCCTACCCTCACAAACCCCTTGTCAGGAACATTATGAAAAAAACAGGCTTCTTGGTGAAATTTGGGTATGCCTGGATTTTGTTAAGATTTTCTTAGTGAGATGATTCAACCTCTCTTCTGTAAATCAATACTGAAAAATCCCCAGCCATTTCACTTCAGGTACCCCACAGTAAATCAAACAAGGCTCCAGTGACTCATGAAATAAAACAACTCATAGCCCTGGTTAATTGGAGTCTGGAAAATAAAAACACTCCAAGTATTTCATTCCCTTCCATGTTTTTATAAATCTCACACTACGTGTGTGTTTGTGTGCGCGTGCATGTGTGTACAGGGGCTGTGCACAGAGCGTTACCTATTCCAGGTAATAGGATTTGTAAGACATGCTAAACCGTCTGTTCCTCTGCTTCCCCAGAACTCTGCCTACTCAGTTTGTAGTCTGTATTGCACTTGTTTTGTTGTTTTTTTGTGATTTGTGTTGTTATTTTTTTTCTTTTTTTTTCTTTTTTTTTTTTTTTTTTTTAAACAGGCTGGAAAACATTAACCTCTTTAGCATGAGTGTGCAGCTCTCCCTCCACCTGCTTTTTTCCTTAGCTGGCCAGGTGCCGCCTCTTATATCTTGTGCAGTTACTGAAAAAAGAAAAGGAGAGAAGAAAAAAATAAAAGACAAAAGAAAAGGAAAGAGAAAGAAAAAGGCACACCATGCTCCTCTGCTTTATGAGTTCTTTTGTCTCCTCCGCTTCGTGTTAAGGCCTCCTGAATTCCTCGGCTCAGACCGTCGTGACCCTCATGACGAGCTCTCTGTTACTACTAGACTGACTCCTCTGTTCGTGAGGCCTCAGGTGGCTGAGTATATGCAGGATGGTGTAAGCACAGTGGTGGTCAGAGAGGGTGCCTGTGGCATGGCCGGCAGCCCGTGCCCCGCTGTCGGCTGCAGCGGAGTTAGTGGCTGTACCACCAGTGGAGGACGAGTGGTTGGTTTGGGAGGAGGGCCGCTGATTTGTCCTGGTCCCTGTTTTTTGCTCCTCCATGTCCTTTGTTTTGTCATAGTTCAGCACTTTCCACTGCTGATTGACCGCCTGCCACCGTTTAAAAATCCGGTAAACCGAGGGCCCTTCGTGTATTATTAGACCTGGAGGGAAGGGGAAAGAAATGAACATAAAACACAAACAAAACTTTAGAAAGAACCATAAACCTTCCCCAGCATCTTCCCCCAGTTAGCTGGTTAAGCTCAGCTCTCTAGCCAGTGCTTTCTCAATGATAAATCCTGTATTTTAATTACCAACAGGCAGAGCACTGGTGCTTCTCCTCTGCTGGATCCCTTTTTCTCCTGAATTAAAGGGATTACAGTTTTATCTCAGCCATCAGTAAGCGGATCGTAAATGGAGCACAGTGAGTTATGCTCTTACAGCAAAAGAGTATCTGTTTACCAACAAATGCCCAAGGTTTATCTCTCACTGGGCTAATTTTGCATGCTGCATAGGCATGATTCACCGAGCTCAGGCGTGTGTTTGGAGGGGGTGTAACTGCAGCTGACGTGTCAGTGACGGCTGCTGCACCAGCGCCGTGTGTGTGCACAGCCCGTGTCTCTCCCCACACACACAGCAGCAGAGCAGACACATGTGGAGGCCAGAGGCAGCAACTGAGTGGAAAAAGAGGTCTGTCTATACCCCTAAGTGGTTTGTTATCCATGGGAAAGTTCTGCTCATCTACAGAGCAGGCACCTCATCAAACGTCATAGCCTCCTTTCAAGGGGGAGCTCAGCATGCTTGACAGAAAGGGCAGAGGAGCTCCCAGTGTGTGCAGAGCAGGCAGTGCCTGTGTCCTGCTGCCCACCCACACGCAAGGCTGATGTCTGGAGACAGCTCTGGGCTCTAGGAAACCGCACTGCTAATGGTCTCTGTGTTCATCAGAGAAGGAGCAGCTCAGGTCCCTCACTAACGCCACAGTTATCTCCCAGCTCTCTCCAACATCCTCCCCACCCTTGCATGAGGACTAAGGAATTAAATAACTTTAGTTGTTTAGATGATGACAGTACTTGAGTATTAAGCTCTGCTATTATTATTGAGCTTGCCAGACTCTGTGGAAGAAGCACTAGGTCTAGCAGTGCTGCAACAGAGATCTTCTTCTCCACTGAGGCTGGAGGAAGCTGCAACATCTCCTGTAGACTGGCTTAGCTGGCACACTGTAATATATCTCACAAGCCTTGCTAGAGAATGGGATTTATGTGGAATGAGGGGAGTCTGAGTGTCCCTGCTTTGCAGCCATCTGTCTCTTTGGAAAGTACCTTTGTGTCCCATGTAACTGAAGCCAGACCAGCAGGCAGAACTAGGTGAGTTAGCACATGGATGGCTTCATTGTCCTTAATGATGAAGGCTTTACCATTCTGGGTAAGGATCAAGATTATCAAAAACCTTTCTAAGAAGAGTTGCTCTCTTGCCTTCCTGCTGCAAGCATAAAAATACAAGAACAAGACTCACAAGAATCAAATTCATGTCTAAATAAAGGGGCTGACTTGACCAACAACGTGTAGAGACATGATGGGCACCACAGAATGAAGTGGTTTACAGCTATTCCTGATTAATCAAATGCTACAGCTTTACCCACCACCTACTTTTCCCAGATAGTTCTATTTTCTGATGGCAGATAACTACTGGAGAAAACCTGTGCCACATCAGACCCCCAAATACCTGAAGGTCATCTTACCCTTAGGGCTGATCTCTCTATTACTCACTGCTGGGACACAGCCACTTGGTTTCTTAGGATCAGCATCTGATGTTAGAGAGTTTAAATCACTGCTTCAGTACAGATGAGTTTCCAGCCTCCCTGGTTCTAAGCATAACTAGGAGCCCTACTGACTTGATCACAGATTAGCTTCAGGGGGACCCACATTCATTGAAATGGGGTGCTGAGCCCACTCACTGGCTGTAGAAGTAACTCCATTGGACAGCTTGCATGCAGATCTGACTGTTTTGGGACAGGGAATGGTGTAGGGCACTACAGTACAAGAAAGTTCTACCCTCTGGTTCCCACAGGCCACTACCCTGCAGTAACCCTGTAACCCTGCAGTGCTTTTTATAACCAAACCCCATGATGTCATAATAGAAAAATGTGGGATTTCCTCCCCGCTTTGAAACATGGTTGAGAATTCTGACGTGGTCTGATCAAAGCATCAACCATAAAAAGCAGGACTTAGGGAAAGCCTGCAGATCCAGCCAAGGAGACAGAGCTTTGAAGCATGCCTGAAGTGGATCAGCCCATGACAAGGGACATTAGACATACATTTAAATGAGCTGTCTGATTGGTAATGAATGAAATTTCACTCTGATCAATGTTTCTCAGTGTTTCTCAGAGACCACTTTAAGCCTAGGATAAAAGAGCCAAAATCAAATGTTTTCTCTTTGGCTGTAGAACATTCTCCATAGAATCAAATCCATTCTACAAAATATTAAACACTGAGCCAGGACTGTAAATCTATTCTTAATTACCTTATCACAAATATTTAACGTGCAGCCTGATTCAAGAGGGCTGTTTATAAAATTCTTGTTTGTTTGCCTTCTAATTATAAATGTTTATGATCTTATGCAATTAACTGTGTGATGCTGATGGATAGGTTGCTGAGTCAACTGAGCAGCTGTTTTCTTAGATAGTTTTGGTTTCCAAATATTTATAAAAGTACAAAATAACTTGTTTTCATCTGTATTTACTGGGCTCTAAATTACTTATCGATTTCCCAGTGTCAAGCTCAGGAAGCTGTAAAATTAAGAAGGAACCAAGTGGAGGGGTGGGCATGGAAGCGGAAGTAACAGTGATTCATTTACAAAAGGAAGTGCCAAGAGTAAGCAAGAGTCCATCAATTAATATCAAGCTGCAGGATGCTTAATGCTCTCATTGAAACAAATTTTGTTTGCCTCAGATAAATTAGAATTGGAATTCCTACATTCAGCTCTGTGCATCCCTTAACAAAAACACCCCTCGCTCCAGAATCATTCTTGTTGAGAGAGGTGAAATGTTCAATTTAAAGGCCAGAATTCAGTGGGAAGTCCTTTAAGAAGGACTGGTATTTGACTTGAGGTGTCCATTTAGAAGCAATTACTCCATAAGCCAAATCCTCTGTGTGAGTGTGTAAGATTGCAGGGTGGTGTAAACTTCTCTCTTTGTGCAGTCCTGAACACAGAAATGTCTGTATCAGAGTTTCAGATGGATTCTGGGAGTGTCCTCCCCATTTTATCTCGCTCTCTTCTGCTTCACAAAATCTGTTCTCAATGGATCCTCTGTGAAAACCATCCTCTTCAGAAGGAAAATTTCAGTGAGTTGTACACAAAACTTGTTAGTCCAGATTGTTGCCTGCTTCATGAAATCCCTAGTTTGTAGTGCTGGTGAAGTGAAACTCCCATGGAATGTGGGCACACATGATGTGCTGCCCTCATTCCCATTTTCTCATGTTGAGACCTAGCTGGACCAGCGCTGGATGAAATTCCTGAAAATCACTGAAAGCTGGACTCTCTTGGGATTAGAGGAGACAGAGGTGCATTGGGTCAGTGGGCTTGTCAGAAAACTGATCAAGAGAAAGGTCCTCAGCCCAAGGGCAAGAAGGGCTGCTGGAAGAACACTGGCAGATGTAACAAGGGAATTGTGTTTGTGTCTCTAGATGGGGAAGCTGCTGTATCACCATCCTGTGAGATTAACCCAGGGAGTTGTGAGCTTCCAATTTAAAGTAACTTTGGAGCAGCAGTTTCCCAGGAATTGCATGAAGTGAATATGGTCAGCCTCTGCCACCAAGTGATATTTTCCCCACAACTTTCAGCCTCTAATTTACCTTCCTCTTATTCCAACACTTGCCATGCATTTTCTTGAAAGAAACAGGTAAATTTTGGGGGCAGGAATTGTTTCACCTGCTTGCCAGTAAAGAAATCCACTAAAACAGGGCTTCTGCTGACAGTGGGTAGCACATCCCCCCTGCACTGACACTCATATTACCTACAGGAGGAAAAATCACAGTCCCTTCCAGCCAGTTACCTTCTCAAAAAGGCCCTGTCCTGTTACCTCTTGTTTTCACCTTCAGCAGAACTTTGCCTCTTCGTTTTCCTTTTCAAATGCAATTTCATCTCAGCCAGACAGCTGCCATGCTTCAGCCTGTTTCTGTTGCTTTCATTATTGGGTGTCAGGGGAAGATTATGGCAGCTGTGATGAAAGCTTAATGTTTGTCTCCACAGCAGTCATGACTCAGGCCAAGGTAAACCAAGCTTTCTGGGAGATAACACTTTATTTGCCAGGCTTTCTCTCTATTGACATCATTGCATACACAAACCCTTCCCTCCCTTTCTGTGAAATCTTTAATCTTTTGTGACAATCTCAAATTTCTGCACTTTTGTTTCCAAAGCTCCACCAGCTCAGCCCTCACTTATCTTTTTACCTTAATCTTATCCTATTTGCTCCATCCTTAGTTGCCTTTTATCTTGACCTAAGAACAGGAAAGTGGCTGATGATAAATTGGGAAAAGAGAGCCAGAAGGATCTGTTCTGGAAAGCACAGGTTTGGAAAGGGGTACCCAGTATCTGGCATCCCTCACCATGGTGCCCAGGTAAGTTCCAGCTGAATATGACAAGTTCTCTGAACAGCCTGCCATACTTAGATGCTCCTGTGGTTGATACTCAAGGTTGCAGAGCTGTACTCTGCAGGAAATGGGGAAGAGGGTGAACCAAGGAGCAGGGAGAGGTGATTTGTAATTGAAAACAATGTCACGACATCAATGCAACTCTGCACTTGGGTTGATCTGGAGGAGAGTTGTGAACCTCAGAGCTGACCAGGCTGGGAATGAGGTAACGTCCTTCTTCTCCTCAATCCTATTCATCATCTCCAGAACCTCTTCATTTCATCCCCCTTTTTCTGCAAGTGAACTCCCCAGCAGGGTGCAGTCCCCACCCTAGAGAGGTGCAGAATCAGCACTAACACCCCACCTGCCTTTCAATTCCGTGATGAAATAAACTGGTATGTCACTGTCTTCACAGTGTGACTGTCTGGTCCTGCTTGTGTTTGGGATTCTGATTTCTCATTCCTAAGGGTAATGTTTTTCACTTCTCTTTATTCAATTACATCTCGTTGATTCCTCCAATTTGCCAAGATAATTTC